GGGGGGGGGGGGGATCAGCGGTTGATAGGATTGGATCACCGCTCGAGTCTCGCTTGCACCTCTATGAGATAATGTACATTAGCATACCTTCCGAATCAACCAACCGAGCACACCAGAAGGTGGGGGGGCGCAACGCAACTATCTCGACGACCAAGGCTCCAAATCCAAAGCCTCTGAAATACTCAACAGAATCAAAGCGGAAGAGAATCATTACTCACCCGCTGTAGAGGTAGTGAAGGACCACCATGAGGTGTTTGTGCTCGGCGTCCTCGATGACCACTCTGCACTGGTGCCGCGACTCCAGCATCGGCAGGGTAAACATCGCCCGGAACGGTCGGCTCCAGGCGGCTGGTGGTTCAAGGAATCGTGCCCACTCGTCTAAACAACTCACATGGTTTCGACTGCGTGTACACGCAGGGCTTGGGGGTGATGGCCACGCTGACGGCGGCATCGTAGATCTCATGCTCATTGTGCAGACAAGGGTTGACGGGAACTTCCAGTATCGTCTCCAGGTAGTGCAATACACAATTGCAATCACTACCAGATCCACACGGAGTCAAGTCTACGAAGTACAAAGAGGTCGTTGTTGATTTTTACAGCATTTGCATAGTGCACGGTATGGGCTTCCCGCCGAATTTCCGAAGTTGTGGTTACAAGGGGAAGCGTTGTCGGGAATACGCTCACATGTGCATGACGTGCGTCTCTACAGGTAACCTCAAAACACTGCCAATCCCGTGATACACATTACGACGTCCGAAAGAGTCATTTTGTTTCGTTTGGATTGCAGCAAAAAAATGCAGGCCACGAAATACACGTGGACAACATATAGCAGTTACAAACAAGAGCAAGAGAGAGAGCAGAGAGAGGAGAGAGGAGAGAGGAGAATCGCGGGGCGATATACTTAATGGAGACAGACAGACTCACCTAGCACAGCCTTGTGACAGGGAACATCGATATCCTCCACCACGAGGCACACGTCGCTAAGCGCGGGGTCCGTCAGCATGGAAAGCATCGTCTGCGAACATGCCAACAACGAACAACGAGCAGGACATATGAAGTCCGCAACAGCCGCCACCTCTCTCAGGATGAGATTGATCTGTGGAAGAGGAAGGCGCGAGGTTTTCTGTCCGAAAAGTGCCCTGGTCTGCGGATGATGCTCTGTAGACATGGTTTGGTTGGCGTGCATAGATGCGTGTTTCGGACACGAGATACATCAATGAGTTTCGGACCGGCGCGCAGTCTGGATGGCCCAGACTTGTTGCCCAGTTTGTTGGCTCAGCTTTGGCTCAGATCGTTTTTCTTTCTCACATAGTTGCATCAACACAAGCTTAGGAATAAGTCAGACAGATTGCTTTCGCCACGAGATCAAGACATGATACATGGCGCCTGCCTAGAGATGACTGGGTGAAAACTCGAAAAAATCGTTTCTGTCCTCTTGCGTCATCCGTTGTGCGTCGAGGACAAAATGATTATCAACTTCTTCGCAGATCCTGGATGGCTGCGCTTCTCTGCCCTCCGCTCTGGGTGTGTAACTTGTTCTAAAAACAATGTACCAGTGGTAGAAAGATATGTAGAGGCACATCACACACAATGCACACACGCACACCGCACTGCTGTACACTTAGGCAGCCAAGAGCGAGGACATGAGAAACATTGGTAGACGCGTGTGTACGTACGTGTGTCATGCCATAGCCAAGTGTGTGGAACAGCAACATTTCCTGGGGCTGAAAAGGATGAAGCAGCGCGAACGGTTGCCGCACACTGCCCTCAGGTTGCCGGTCATTGCAACCGATCCCTGCCAATATCGAATTTCATCACGTTGTTCTTGCATTTCCATAGCACCTCCATGCCGCAACCTCACGGTAGCTCAGACAACCCTACCTGGTTCCGGGTGCATGCACAAAAATCTGAGCAAATAAACATCTAAGCAGAAGTTTCTGCGTGTTGAAGTACTTAAATAGCATCGACCAATGATTGGGGGGGGGGGGGGGGGGTACTCATAGTCGTGCATGCCGTAGTCGTTAGACCATTGACCTCGCATCCCTACAAAGCCGGGACGGAGCACGCCGGGTTCTCACCGGACCAGGCTCTCACATCACCAAGCGCGAAGCGCCGTGAGATATTCGGCGAGTCGCATGAAGGGTGCGCTGCATCCTGCTAAGGGTGTTCGGCATGTTGTGCGTACTTCCTTGCGTACGATGACAGCTGCATATGACTTAATTTGTTTTCTGGTGCTTTCACTTCCAGAGACAGTTGTAAGCACTGTGTAACTGCCTCAAGGGTGCTTGACCAATTGACCAATGATTGGGAGAGGGCAAAATCAAGGTATATGAAGGGGGGGCCAAAATCGAAAATGCACAACGCGCTGAATGCGAAGGCCAAAACGCATCTCATTACAAATTATTTCTGAGAGACAGACCCTCTACACATGTTCTCTCTTGAGTCGATAATGGGAAGCCCCTGATGCAAAGAGCGGAGGACCACCAAAAGGGCTATTCAAGCCAGCCAAAGCAAGATGTCGATGCTTGTGTATGCGTGTGTTTCGTCCCTGTGTCTATTATGCCGCTAGCCTAGACTACAGCAGTACCCCTTTCGGTATGCATTTGATGTCTGTCTCAGCCAGGGTCACACAGGAGGAAGGAGCTTTTTTCCCACCTTTCCCATCCGGCGTTTTGCCGTGGCGGAGGGTTCAGCGGCAGCACTTTCTGTCTCCGAAGACTCTGTAACCACAGAGTATGTATATACAAATATTGTCTCTTGTACAAAACACAACGAATAGCTGCAGCAGCAGCCTTTGAACCAGAACATAGCCATCTGGTGAGATATGCGTATGGTATGTATGCCCGTGACGTATATTCGTTAACCACGCCTGGTGCATCTTCGTGCTGTGCTACGATGTGTGCACATGGTAGAATATGTGCAGATGCATGTTTCAAAAATTAGAGACATATTTTTTGGGGTGAGGAAAGTCATCTACTTGTATCTATCTCTATCCAAAGGTACTTGGGTTTTGTACGAAAAAATGTATCATGTGTATCACGTACACTCGATCACGGAAAAAACACCCGTTCGATGTGTAACAGTATCATATACCATCATACCCCAGGGCTCTTCGAGTCAAATACGCTACGCATAGCTAGCTGTGTGAGCTGTTGAGCTTGGGAAACGTCACAGCTCGCAAATGGCAGTCAGCTGTGGGCCGCCCTGCTTTACATATAATTTAATTGTGGTGCCAGGTATCTTGCAGCCCCTTTCACACACGTGATGAATGCAGTGCTGCGCGCTCCCCGAGCCCACTGTAGAGGGATCCTTGGTAGTTTTGGGACTATCCTTTTTGGGCGAAACAAAAATAGTTAGTCTATGATTTCTGTGCTTCACTGCTGAGTCGCCGAAAGAGTGATTCGGCACGTATCACAGCAAAAGTTGTACTGCAAGTACAGCTGTAGGTGTACCAGGCTTCCTACTATTTAGACCACCGTCCGTATCTAGACCCACCGTATCGAAGCGAAAAAAACAAACGTCCATCGGGAACTGCAAAAAATCGCGTTTATAGTATAGTGGGGCGGGTACATTCAATTCGAAGTAGAGAGAAGGCTACCTCGCCGACGGACTTTTCTTCACGGTGAAATGGTGAAATGGTGATCGATTGCTCAGAAGCGCGAGGATCAGGCCTCGAAAGGTCTGCACCAGACGAAGCTTACCAAATAGCCGCACGAACCAACCCAACAACGAACAACAAACAAGCGTGGCGAGTGCGTACGCATACATACATACATTGGTAGCATTGTAATCATCAATAGCACCCAGGCCCCGTGGAATGCACACAGACCTTCTGCAGTCCGACGAGGTCATCGTCCAAGCTCCACGCAGAATTCCTCGCCGGGATGCGATGAGATTTCCTCGAAGCACCGCTCCAAGGTCCCCATCGGATCTTGGCCATTCGAGCGCTGCTGACCGTGCCGGGAGAGCTTGCGGTAACGAGAGATAGAGACGAGATGGTCCCTGACGGGGTACCTGTCTACAAAATCATCTTGCATCGCATGATGACGGGCACATGTCACGAAGGTGGGTCATTACTTTTCTTGAGAAATGAAAGTAGGCGTGCATGCGTTCAAAGAACATGTAGCAGTCCCGCGCCGTGAGAGTCAGATGGTCAGATGGTCAAATCTCAGGAGAGCAGCAGAGAGGTGCGGGAAGAATGAACAACACGAGAGGAGCAAGAAGACCTTGGAGCATCTGGGGAACGATGGTAGTGTCGACAAGAATGGCCGTTGTTGTTCTTCTCATGGCTGATGTGAACAACGCTCTCTCGACTACGTGCAGCCCAGGAACTGTAGCGAACACAGCGACAGCTTGCACACGTCTCTGTGTGAGTCAGCAGGGCCCCAGGCCCAGGCGGTGGTCGAGCTCTGGTCGCCATGGAAACGAGCGTGCACGTGTCATGTCACTTGGGTTGTTCGGGTTGGGCGGGGGGGGGAGCGACTGGAAGTCCCGCGATGGCAGTCCTGCGGTATCGAAGGCGGAGCGAGCAGTCAACAGCAATGCCGTGTTCAAAAGGCGTGTGTCACAGGTTCGTCCGCGCCCACAGGAGTTATACTGCATGTAGATCTGCATACAAGAGCTTTCGTAAATTGCCTTGCACATTGATGACTACAGACCTGTTGGCCGATGTCATGCCTGCTGTGAGGGGCGCATAATGGTGCTTGTTTCGTTGTCAACTTTTGTCGCTTCCTCACGGAAGTACGCTCAAGGAGCAATCACGGCAGGTGACCTCGTTCGGTCCCTTGAGCGGGAAGTGGTAGTATTGATTCCCGGTTGCGATCTGGAGGATGCCGTCGCGGCAGCTCTCGAGGCCACGCCGGACATGCGCAAGCGGGACCTCCTCTCCAAGGCTAGGTAAACGCCTATCATTTTTGGGCAATGGAATTTCGGTCGCGCATGCTCCGGCGAGGCCTCTCAGAGTCCTCCTTGTGATGCACCTGTGTGTGGGGGGGACATTGTCTTTGTCGCGCTGCTGCTCTACGTGTGCCCCTCGGCAACACCGTTGTGAAGCTTTAGATAGCGATAGCAAGTGGTGCTGTCGTGGGATGACTTTCTGCCAGAGGCACGAGCTTCATGCAACCTTGACAGCAGATAGATCGAAGGCCGCTGTTGTAGCAGCAACGTGTAGTCGATTGTTCTCGTTCCGCTGGATGATTCCTTGCTCCCGCGACTTGTTTGAATCATGTTTTCTCCAGCGGAGGGAGAGCTATTGGGCCCGGTGGTTCCACCCGGCGTTTGGGGGCATCGCGTGGTGGGAGGCCAGACGTTACCGTAGAAGGTGGGCGAGGACAGCAGTATCTCATGAGCCAAGGTGGTGCGAGGATCAGCAGCGGGAAGAGCTCCATTTTCAACGGGGTGGAGGTGGGAAAGGAGGTGAGTATAGCGGTGTATCAAGTTCCTTCAAGTGCGGAGCGCTGTAAGTGTGGGAAAATGCCTTGCTGGCTTCTCTTTTCTGCCTCCATTTTCAGCGTCTACCCCTGTCGTCATTCCCTGGCATCCATTTCCGCCCTCGACATGAGCGGATACATGTCGGACACATACAACCCAAACAGCAAAGGGACTTCGCCAGCTGGGACAAGTTGCCGCTAGGGGGGGGGGGGGG